ACCACGACTACCACGACTACCACCACCACCACCACCACCACCACCACCACCACCACCACCACCACCACCACCACCACCACCACCACCACTGCTGCCACCACCACCACCACCACCGCCGCCGCCGCCGCCACCACCGCCACCGCCACCGCCACCGCCAGCGCCAGCGCCAGCAGCAGCAGCAGCAGCAGCAGCAGCAGCACCAGCAGCACCACCCGCACCAGCAGCACCAGCACCAGCACCAGCAGCAGCAGCAGCAGCAGCAGCAGCAGCAGCAGCAGCAGCAGCACCAGCACCAGCACCAGCACCAGCACCACCACTACCACCACTACTATCACTACTACCAGTACTACTACCACACTACAACCACGACCACTACTATCACTACTACCACGACCACGACGACGACGACCATGAGCACCACTACTGATGTGCTACGCCAGTGACGCTTGTACTCTTGGTAACTAATACTTTTTGTTTCCTGAAAGAAACTTCCACCAAGACTCCCTTTGCTCAGGAACCGCGCGAAGACGCAGTGCTCCGTGTGAAAGATTGGGAGGTGCTGGTGGGCTACCACCTGACAGTCGTAGCACCAAAAAAGTTAGAAATAATTAGCAGCGGTAGGCAGATGAGTAGTAGCATAATCGGCGGAAGGGAACTGGGAGTAGCGGCAGCGGTGACAGCGCAGCATCTTTCATCTAGACCTACCATCGACAAAGGAGCAGGAAGCTGCGAACTGACCGGCGGTCTTCCTTTGCCGAACGCATCTGCTGGTAGCTGCTACGAGCTTGAAGGACAAAGCCACCTCTCTGTTGGTATGAAACAACAGTCAACCTCCCTGCCCCATCATCATGGTATGTTCTACAACCAGGATCCAAAATTAGCTTCATGACAATGAACCCGGACTTTTTCAGAATCACTTAAAGGCAAGCAGATTACGGGCAAGAGGGCCTCTAATCTGGCAGCTCGTTCTGGGCCCAGCCTCTTGGCCATCCTTGCATTAAGAAGTTAAACTTACTGGTGGTCAATGGGGCATGGAGGAATGCATCCCCTATGTGAGACCCGATTGCTACTCTCTAGAACGAATTCCTTACAACCACCAGCAAGGCAGTTTTCTATATACTTTGGCTAGCATGATAAGACCACACAATTTCGGAATGCACCAATGAATACAGAGAGCTATACGTTGGTTTCCAGCGGGAATGTGTGCAGTGGACTGCTTACGGAGCACACGCCTCCCAACCCTTACCTTAGGGCTAGAAAATGCACGGGATTGCTTGTGTTTTCCAATTCCCAGCACTTGAAAGATCTCTTTTCAATGATACCCTTGCAAGACTGAAAGGAACAAGCGCCCAGCGTCTGGCAGATTTGCATGGCGCTGAGGTCATGGGTCGGTGTTAGACGCTGCAGACCTTCGCTGGGAACATGCAAGAACACTGGCATAAGGATAGCAACGTCTAACCAAATTGTCCTGGCAATTCTGATGGCAAGGGAACTACGAAGAACCAGAGTAATGCCATCTGCGTCACTGTGCATTCTAATGTTATGCATCTACAAACCCTTCCTTTGCTGTTCCCCCTGTTCCTGGCCTGGCAGGCCCAGGTAGAAGCCAGCCGTCAAGGCGTTGGCCGCATTCCTCAGGTCTTAGCTGACGCTGGCCATCAGCTGCCCACTTCACGAGAACAAGGACATCCAGCAACGTATGAGCGCTAAAGGGGATGGCTCACTATCTTACCCTGGCTTTTTCAAAAGCACAGTCATCCACTGATGTTCTGGACATGTATCAGGCTGAAGTCGCCGATCACCTCCGGACCATCGTAGCCTGCTTGGCGACAAGCTAGGACCAGGCTTCCGGATATCTTGTGATTCTGCGTGAGGGAACCGATAAGGCTGAGTCTTATGCAGATGCTTGCTGGCACTCCGACAAGAAAGCTGTGCTGCTGAAACAAATGCAGGTGGGAACCAGACCCTAGTGAACCGAAAGAAGAAGGCGACACACCAAAACCGATGCCCTCCATCAAAGACTGAGCAAAGCTTTTCAAGCATCACAAGATCACATTCTAGCCGAACATGCGCTAGGCTCAAAGGCCGTCCTCGTGTAATGCAAAAAGAGTGCAACAATCGGTGAACAAAACTCCAGCCATTGTTGAGGTGCAGAATTTTCATTTGAGCCTTGCCCACCATCTTCGCCCAAACCCAGCAGCTGATAGAGAGCTCCGCTGCCCCGGACCAGGAGGGAGTCTGTCTCCAAGCGGCGGTAGAACCTCCGGTATTTGCTAAGGGTGCTAGAAAATGTAGGCCCAGCGAATAGCCGGTTCTGTGGCATACGCTTGGGCGGCACGAACTCAGGGGTCTCGTAGTGTGCTGGCTGGGGCAAGAAGGGCTGAGTGCAGTTGGGGAAATATTGCGAAGCTGTTAGCAACTGAAACCCAAACCCCTTGATCATACCTGACTCCTCAACACTTCTTGTCGATGAACCTCTGATATCGCATGAGTCTGAATGTGCTCCTATGTGACCGTTTTCTGAGTGGAGCTGAGCAGCTGCCAATGGCGGTCCTCATTGGGCTTAATTACTCGCGGCAAGCACACGGCGACGCGCTGCGACGCTGCCCGTGCAGCTGCCACACTCTCCTGCATGCCGGCTCGTACAAGGTAGGAATTCAGCATAACTCAACACATCGCCCCCCCTTACAAGAGCACTTCATACATGTAGATAGAACTTCCTTAGCCACCCACAAACGCACTCCCCAAAACCATTAGATAGACCCTACCTCAAATCAAAAAGGGGCATAGAAACTGTTACACGTTCGTCTCGCCGACCTGAGTGAGTGGTTGGAGAAGCTGCGTGATGAGCTCTGGCATTGAAGCCAAAAACTTGAAGCATAAGCTCATGATTTTTCATGATTGCTGAATTACTGCTGCTGAGCCGCCTGCAGACCGTTTGCCTCCAAGAAATCCAACTGAAGCTCGTAGACCAAGCCACGGGGCAATGCTAACACCGCTGCTGCTTGTTCTGGGTTGCGGCAGAGGACGGTCAAGCGTGGTACGGGCAGCTCCGACTGCATAAAGGAGGTCGTCTTCTGCTGGGGCCACGCCGGAAGAGGAGGAGAGACTAAGCTGCTTAAGGTCTGTACAATCTGTGCATCCCCAGCTTGAAGTTTAGGTCTTTCTTGAGGAGGCTCTTGCCCAGCCACCTGTCGGTTCGCTGGCAAATGCGAAAGCTTGATCATGCGTGCCTGCTGCTCCAATGCCTCATCCTTGTTCCTCCAGACGACATCGCCCGGCTTTACCTCTGAGCCAAGACGCCTTCGTCGCTCTTCTGCAGTCTCGCCCTGAAAGTCTAACCGGACAAAGATGACAGCGCCTTCTTCCATGCCAGCACTTGATTCGACGGCTCCACCTTTGGGTAATCTTAGCTTTGAAATCTTGGCTCCGAGGATGGCATCGTCTCCACCAAACTCCATGCCGCTGCCTTCGAAAAAGATTCCAGCGCCAGGTCGCAAAGGAACGGCCACTGCTCCAGGAGCGAGCTCAAGCGCAAACGAGTTAGTTTTTGCCTGCACTGCTCGGACGCGGCCCACAAGAACGCCTCTATGCTTTGGTGCCCGTCCACGTACCAGTCGTTGATGCCGAGGGCCCTCCAGAAAGCCGGGCGACAAGCCATCATTATCGGAATCTTGGCCTCGGGCGAAAACCTGTGCTAAGGCGGCGCGGGTCACCTCGGGGGTTTCCAACAGCTCTGCCCCTGGACCTTCCAGCTTTGGGGGCTCTTCCTCACCATGATCCCAGGCGCGGTCGATGGCCTGGCGGTATGCTGCAGTGGTAAGGGCAACGTATTCCTCACCCTTCAGGCGGCCCTCAATCTTGAAGCAGCCTGCACCCGCGTCAATCAAAGCTGGCACGTAGTCTAAGGCCATAAGATCTTGCGGAGACAGAAGGTAGCGAGTAGCGTCGCCTAAATCCACAAGCTCGCCGTCCTTGATGAGCCCATATGGCAGCCGGCACGCCTGCGCACACTGCCCCCGATTTGCCGAGCGCCCGCCCCAAGCCTCCGAGGAGAAGCACTGACCGCTGTAAGATACGCAAAGAGCTCCGTGGACAAATACCTAAAACGGGCAATGGCTCATGAAGGCTCGGCTTTCAGGTACCTGTTACATGCCAACCAAATGCTTGCATCTCTTGACTACCATTTTGGTCCACTGGGTTGCCAAGCAGCCTCGATTTCCACATTTGGCGCATCCCGCCCAACGGCAGCGATCTCCTCGATACTCAACTCCCGCCCAAGCACGACGCGCTCGGTTCCCAGCAGTTCATGCGCAAACCTTGGGGTGAAACATCAGCCCAACCCACCTGCAAAACAAAGCTCCGCAACCTTGCCAAGCCTATCCCCTCCAACATTAAAACTTTTCGCCCCCAATGACCCCCCTGGTAGCTGGGCGGACATCTGTAGGTGTAAGGTGGCAGCATAATTTCAAAGTTGGAAGGTGCAGTAATTGTAGCCTCTAATAAGCTTTGTAAATCAGCAAACCTTAAACATTTCAGTGGAACTCTGCTGGACAGGAATTCCAGCTTATAACTTTCTTGCTGGGATTCACGCAAGCGGTTATGCTTCACAGGGCGCCGATTGCAGCGCAAGATCTATGTTCATCCTGGCAGCAACGCACCTGGCGCAGATGTGATGGACATCTGCGTGGAGGCGTGGACCGGAATATGAGGGCAAAGTTCTCGACTTGCCAGAGCCAAGCCCACATCTTGCACAATCAGGGCGTCAACATTTGCATCTGAGACCACCTGAAGGGCTTCAATGGCGGTGCCACTGCCTGGACGACCGGAGTTCAAAGGGTCAAAAAGCTCGTGGTCGAAGACCAATACATTCAGTGTGACGTAGGCCTTGACCCCGTTGGAATGTAGAAAATGCATCACTTCCGGAAGCTCCTCCGTCGTGAAGTTCGCAGCCCTTGCCCGCGCATTTAGCCCAACATCGAGACCGAAGTACACAGCATCAGCGCCTGCACGCACAGCTGCGCGCAGCTGAGGCCATCCACCGGCAGGTGCAAGAACCTCAGGCTTTTGACGCATGAACTGCGGCGCCGCCTCCAGGGTCCTCGACTCCGAGTCAGCCTCCAGTTCACGATACAGCTCAGAGTTCTTGCGACGCTTCCAGGTGTCTTGCTTGCTCCGCACAGCTTGGGTGGACATACGCCTGCATCTGTGATAGCTTAGCAGCAGGCTGAAAGCGGGCAGCAGGGTCAAACTACACCTCCTTCCCTCATCGGCCCGGTTTTGCGTAGGCCGGATGGGCTCACTGCAGCTCGGCAAAACCAACAGCCGAGGAGGACTGAAGTGGATATGTGGCCGGGAGAGCATGGCCCGAAACCAGTAACTACCAAGCTGTGCAGTGTCAAACCTCGTGGATTTGGGGTTTTAAGTTGTTGGAGTCTAAGTGGCATTAACTATACTGGGCTTTGAAATCCAGTTGGGCATGCTGTCAATTTCGCAAGAACCCCGCCAAGTGGCCGCAGCTTTACACAGGCACTGTAGCAAATGGTCATGCCGCTGACTCTGCTAGAGGTGGCCCACACTCACATTTCACACTGTCCGCAACCAATTCTACGAAGAGCATCATGACCATTGAATAGGAAATAGGAGAAGTGAGTCTTTCTGAACATGTGGACTATGACTTTGAGAAGCCCTACTGAGAAGCTTTTACTCTGCAGTGCCATGCATGGTCCTGGCCAACCTGCCGCGGGAGCCAGGAATTTTGGTACAGTATGGTACAGTACAACTGTCGGATCCCAACTTGTCGCAAGCTACCCCTCAGTTGCTAAGCAAAGGCCGGTGGCCAGTGATGGTGAAGCCGGCGTCCTTGTCTAGCTCCAGCTTGCTGAGGGTCTCCTGGCAGAGGCTGGCCATCTGCTCACCTTTCCCCCGGAAACAAGACAGCACCCCACAAAGACTGCATATGAGCTTCAGTCAATATTTCCTACCCAATTTAATGGACATGGGTTCCTTCTTAGGGACTATACTAAACTACAAGAGGGACCCTATGTCCACAATAAAGGGTCCCTTAATAAGGTTTATATTGACACTAGCTCATATGCAGATACAGATACAGCATTGGGAATGTGATTAGGGGGAACGCGCAGTTCGAAGCAGTATTAGGTTGCAGCGCTTCATGTCAGCTAAAAAAGTATCCCCAGTCGTATAGCTGCGCTTTGTGGGGTCAGATTCTACTGAGGGAACAAGCCTGATTCACCCCATCCGGGATCATTCTATATGGAGGGCTTTGCCGACGTTGTGGCCGCTTCCTTGTGCATTCCCTGAGTCTTAAGTGCGTTTTCCATAGGGAGAACGTTACAAAAATCTTCGCAACATAAGCTATAGTCTAAACTCCTGGTATCCCCCTTAATTAGTAGCCCCTGTAATTCTTCCCTGCATAATCCACCCTTTAAGGGAGTCAAGACTAAAAGCACACATAGAAAAAGCCCGTTGGCTACCCCACCTGCAATGACTTCAGGGATGGCTCAGCCTGGCCAGGAAGAGGCTGCAGGACTTATAGTCCCCCTTAAGTAGATAGAATATGGAGTATATTATTGGGGTTATATAGGTATAATGGAAAAGAAAATGGAAACTACTAAAGTATATAGGGTATATGGGGTATATTATTGGGGTAATATAGGTATAATGGAAAAGAAAATGGAAACTACTACAATAATAGGGCACATATTGGGGTTATAGTCCCCCGTTGAGTAGACAGAATGTGGCTTTGGGTATATTATAATCTGATTCCCATGTACCCCTAATTCTATCTACCTAAGGGGGACTAAATACACTGCACCCCTGCGCATGTCTGATGAAAAAGGAGAGTCTTGCTAAACTAAGGGTTTAGCAAAGCTATGCCAAGCTGCTGCAATGACAGGAAGTCAAATGAAGCAAGACTGATGGGGCTCAGGATTCGAGCTGTGTCATCTTGTAAGGGCATAGGGCCTCAAAGGCGCACAATACCTTTCAGGGATGGCTGCGTTCCAAGCGCAACTCCACATGCAAGCGGACCCTCTGAGATGCCTTGAGGCGAGCCTGTACGCCACTGAGCCCAGCCTGACAATAACCCCATTGGGGTAATGTTAGGGATATACTGGGGTTATAATGGGATAGTGGGAAATAAAATGGAAATTTCTATTTAGGGTTGAGGGTTTGTCTACGTAATGTTGAACATGTGGACAGCGCAAGAAGCAGGTATTGCTGCTCCCACACATCCTGAAATGTGCAATCGTCTGGGGGCGGATAGCATCAAATAAATGCAAATCAGTTCGAAGTCCGCCACTCGCCACCTTGCAGATTCTCGCAAACAAAAATCCTCTAAACCCTAATCCCTAAATCCCAAACCTGTCATAACCCAATGCATCGGGCCACGCGCGACGGTCTTCGTCGCGAGTCAGCCCTCAGCTCGCATCGCGCGCGTGGCGGGTGTCGCAGGTTTGGGTTTCTGCAGGTCCCAAGAAACTGCTAGTGATATATATATATATATAATTTATTTAACTTATATAGTTTCTTAGATTTAGTTGTGTGGCACTGTCCCCAAGGCTTCGAAATCGAAACTTAACCTGAGATCTGCTGAGTAGTCGGCTTTGGTGACTCAGTGCGCTGTGCACAGCGGCCACTGACGCTCAAAGAGCGATTTGGCGGCCCGGCCTGCAGAATGTTGTGCTGATGACTTAAGCAGACGTGCGCCTGCTTACTCACATTTACTCACACTCTGACTGGCACATGCTACGAAGCTAGCAGGCGAAAAAGTCTGCTAGGCCAGAGGAAAGCACTTCCGTCTATCTTACCGAGCATATTTCAAGAACATGCTGGTACTCAGTGAGATACACCCGGACAGGTAATAGGCCATGATTCAGGACCACCAGAAGGGCTGGATCAGGGAGCTCTCTATGTGCCCTTCCTGGTCCCTGACCTAAAAGCTCCCCACTCCTTTGTCATGCAGGATGCTCAATGCCTGGGCTCCGTCTGTGGACCTCAGCTGATGTTCAGTGGCAGCTGCTCTTGAGTAAGCAGCATGTTGATCAAGCACACAACCCGGCTAATCCTTCATTCCCAACACCCAAGCATTTTGCCTTATCTTCCCCTCTTGCGCCAGAACTGTACCAAGGTTGAGCGCTTTGTGCTTGGTTCCATCTTCTTTCTTGTGGCAGGACGTAAAGCCAGGTTACCTTTTGTCGATAAAGTTCATGTGTCACGGAGCACCCAGGCTCATAGAGCCTCACTATGCTTGGCTATCCCTTGACCTTGCGACAAAGTCGCGCTCGCGCCCTCACAGCTTCGAAGGATGTCCTGGCACCAAATGAAACAAGCTAGTATCCCCCTTAATACCCTCTGTAGTCGTCCCATATCTAATCCCTCATATAACCCCCCTTCAAGGAGTTTAGATTATGGCTCAAATAAAAGCTACAAGGACTCTCTCTGCAGTTTCTTCAACCTGCGCACAATGCCTTTGTCTTTACGTCACTCAGTCCCCTTCCAACGCCCTTAACCGGCTGGAGGCTTGGAGCAACACGTGCCATGATCGCAGAACCAGACTCATGTTTAGTGCACCTCTTTTTTGGTACAAGGAGGCGTCAACTCGACAATGCATGTCTCAGAATGTGACTTTCATCTCTTCAAACCCCCGTTTGATTTCTGGAAATTGTCTTGTTGAGACTTGCAATGCTCTTTACCGATTTCCATGGTGCGAAGGCCTGTCAGAGGAAAGCTGCCGTTCACGCTTCCCATCCGCTGTTGAGATGTGACTCAGTGCCAGAATCGGGAGCTTCTTGAAACTCTGGACTCTGCAAACCTCTCTAGTCTTGACAGCTATTTGCGGCTTACTGCTCTCTCAAAATGCAATGGAACCAGAGCATCTTCCCAATTGCTTTGCAGCCAGCCGCTCTCCTAGGCTACTAGGCAAAGAAAATGCCAATCGACCGCCTTCAAACAAGGCTGCAACCTGTTGCACCCTCACTTCGCGATCGCAGCGGCTAGCAATTTATGAATTAGCTTGTGTAAAGGTCCCGGCAAGTGGGGTTGATTGCCGTTGAAGGCCCGCCGCAGCGAGAGCAACGGTCACTAACTCCCATCATCCTCTTATGCGAACCTCTCTCCTTCTACATATGCTAGTGCCCTGGCTACGGCACTCGCAACATTCACCGCCTTCTGCCTGTGACCAACCGTTGGCCGAACCCTGGGAAGGTGGAGTGTAGGGACAAGTCTGGGCACCTACAGAATGTCTTTATTCCCTCAACTTTCCTGAGGTCCGGGCTCCCGATTGAAAGCGCCGCTCGAGGCGTTCGCATGCAGCTTGGGCTGGCTCGGACGCCTGTCGACTGCAAGCTGAAAGCCATTCTACCTGTATGGCCCCTTGATTTCCATGAACTCGAGCTACGTAAAACTATTCAACACGGAGTGTCTCGGCCTTTTCAGGCACCCAGAACGGGGACGCGCGGCGTTGTTGTTTCTGCAGTTTTGGCCATCTCTGGTAAGTTCCTAACCCCATAGCAGGCGGGATACAGTGATGGAAGAAAGGAATCTAGCAAGTCTAGCGGTCTTGGCACATGGCCATACTGTTGCTCAAGGGCCACGGTTGGTTGGACAATTCTGAAACTCGGAGAGGTGAGATTCTTGGTCACAAGCCTTTAATGCCTGAGGCCCAATTCCTGAAGCCCAGAGGCCATGCAGCACCCTTCCGAGCTCCAAACTCTGGCCACAAAGCCATGTGTCACGCAACGGATTAAGCCCAAAGCTTTCAGCCCCTGAGTGGCTGTCTGCGTTAGTTACTCTTCCCCAAGTGTACCAATATAGGAGCCACCTGAAGGAACCCGTGTTACATGGGGAACGCAAACTCAAACTGTCAGACCGACATATGTAGGATCACTTGAAGGGCCTTCCAGCAATCCGGCTGCCCGCAGGGAAGCTGCCCACATTCAGATCCCTTATGCTGCAGGCACTCAAGGTCACACTGGCGTCTCGGGCATCGTTGCATAAAGAATGTATTAAGCAAAGTAAGAAGGAATCTTACAAAGGGCAAGGGGTGTACTGAAATAAAGGATGAAGAGCGAGCAAACAAGGGATAACTGTAAATTCGCCGTACGACCTACTGCGTGCATCTGCGCGGGATAGGATGGTGTGCGAAAGTCGTGTACCAAAGGGTGGCACGTGCTGTT